GTCCCTACCGTCACAAGGCCAACAGGTGTGAAACAAAGGCAAAGGTGAAAGACTGCTGGTAGAGCTAACGAGACTGATACTCCTTGAAGCACAACACAGCAGAAAGGGAAAATCTGAGATGAAAGTAGAGCAGGTATTTTTACAAATCTTCCGGCAAACCAATCTTCAATATGAAACACAAAAGATAATTATAAAACTTTGAAGACTCTGGTTCACTGAGTGTTAAGTATGACAGCAAAACAAATATTACATCTTGCTCAACTAGATTAACACAACCCCCACCCCCATATCCATACAAAGGTCTAACAGAAGGACAAGTGTGTTCATAGCCATACAAAAATCTACTTGTCTTTTTCTAGCTTCAGTGTTTTCTTGGCCTGAAATTACCTAAATTCTTAGCTCAGAATTCAGTATAATCTGTCTTTGTACAATGGTGGATTAATATTTATCATTTTTTTAATAAGTTGCATGTTCAAAAAATTTGAGGGGCATAAAAAAGTCAAGTTAAAATGTACTTCCAAGCTGCAAAGAAATTAGTACCAGATTCAGATTATTTTCCAGGCATTGAAACCATCTCAAATGGAATTTAAACATCTTGATTAACATGTTAAAGACTCTAATGGAAACAGTGGTAAGCACACAAGATCACATGTAATTTCAGCAATGAGGTAGAAACTATAAGAAATAAACAAACGTAAATGTTAAAAATCAACACTGTGACAGAGATGAAGAGCGCCTGTGACAGGCTCATCAATATAACATCAGTATACTTTCCTGAGGCAAGAACAAAATAAATGGTGACCTTGAAAATAGGTGAATATATATTACCAAAACTTAAATGAACAAAAATTAAGAAGTGGGGAGAAATAACAGAGAAAAGATAATGGAGCAGAAGAAATATTTGAAGTACTGACTGCCTAGAATTTTCTAAAATTAATGACACACATGAAAGTGCAAACCGAAGAAGCACAAGAAACACCAAGCAGGATGCATAAATTAAAAAAAAATTGACATATATTCAAACTGCTGAAAACAAAGGGCAAAGAAAACTCCTACAAGTATCCAGAAGGAAAAAGATACATTATTTAAGTTACTCTCTAATTTGGTGAAGAAAATAGACATAAAAGTGCAGGAACACAGGCAGTCCCAAACAAGTTGGCCCCAAAAAGGACCACAGCAAGACATATCATAATTAAAATACCAAAGGTTAATGATGAAGAGAGAATCTTAAAAGCAGCAAGAGAAAAGCAGAGAGTTACCTACAAAGGAGCTCCCATAAGACTGTCAGGGGATTTCTCACAAGAAACTTTGCAGGCTAGAAGGTACTGGCAAGAAGTATTCAATGAGATGAAAAGCAAGGACCTACAACTTAGATTACCCCATCCAACAAAGCGATCAGCAAAGTTGCCATTTAGAATGGAAGGGCAGATAAAGTGCTTCCCAGACAAGGTAAAGTTAAAGGAGTCCATCATCACCAAGCCATTATTAAATGAAATGTTAAAGGGAATTATTTAAGAAAAAGGAGAAGATCATAACTACGAATGTTAAAAAGGCAACAAATTCACAGCTATGAACAACTGAATCTCAAAAACAAACTAAGCAAACAATCCAAATAGGAAGAGAATCATAGATATGGAGATCAGTGGAAGATCATCAGCTGGGAGGGCTAAGAGGAGGAATGAGGGAAAAGGTGCAGGGATTAAGAAGCTTAACTGGTAGGTACAAAATGGCCAAGGGCTTGTTAAGAATAGTATGGCAAATGGAGAAGCCAAAGAACTTACATGCACAACCCATGGACATGCACTAAGTGGGGAGGGAGGGAATTGCTGGAGGGATTAGGGGTACTGGTCAGAGGGGAGCAAAGCAGGAAAAATGGGGACAACTGTAAGAGCATAATCGATAAAATATATTTTTAAAACCAGAGTAAATGAACTCTATTGTATCCCCACCTCCACTGACCTATTCAGAGTGTATTCAGAATACATCTTATTTGCTAAAGACAAATGAAATCAAGTACATTGAAAGGGTATCTACTGCATGCAAAGCATGGAAGATATGCGAAGAATGGACTTGAATAGGTATGAAAAGTACAATAGGATGAAGTGGAGATGAGCAAGAGAAAGATGCAACCTAACGGAGTGAAAAGAGCAAATGGATTATTCAAAGGGACATTGAGTGAGTTATTTCTCTGGGACAGAAGATAGTTGGACAAGTTTAAAAAGTTGACCGAGCGTTGCAGTCTGGACTCGGTTAAGTAGACAACAAAGTTTAATAGTAATTGTAAAATGATAATATTCTTCACTGATAACTTTATACATCTAATTTCTTCATCTGTATTAACTCCATTATATGGTATCTTCAAAGAAAAGTCAAATGATTATAATTATAGTGGTTGTGTTTATCTTATATCTGACATTGAAGGGAATACTCTTAAGGTTGCCCCATTAAATATGATGCTGGTTTTGGTTTTAGAAAAGACTGTCTTGTAATATATATTCATATATGTACTTTTATAAAGATGGAATATTTCTTCAGACCAGAATGCTTGTGTTCTTGATCAAGAATATAACAATTTCCAGTACTTCTCTTTTATATTAATATGTTTGGAAAGTTGAATAATAAGTGATTAAAAGAATATTAGGTAAATAACATGACAGAGTAAAGCAGCTGAATCCTGCTGAGGAATATTTAATCTGGACCATGCCAAGAATAAACTATGCACTTGCCCTGCCATGAAGCAGATGTTCCTAATGATGCTAATAACTGGCGTTTCCAGATGTACTCCTTATTAATAGTGAGGAAATCACCTTTTACAGTGTATAAGCAAAACTCAAATAACAGTGGTTTAAATAAGATAGAAACTTGTATCTCTCACAGGTAAAATCCAGATGTAGAGACTCAGGGATGTCTCATGGCTCCAAGTTATTTAGGAGGCAGACAGTTTCAAGATTTGCACTCTACCACCCTCGAGACTGTTTCCTCATCCTTAAGCATCAAAATGGAATTTTAACTAAAAAATCTAAGCCACATCATAGAAGAAGGGATAAGAAATTGGCGTGTCCTTGTTTTTTTTAAGGGTCATATGGACATCATTTCCACTTATGTTCCAGTGGCCAACACTTAGTAACATGGCTACTTGTTAATTCTGGATGTTCTTCTTCCTAGCTAATAGTCTAAAGGAGAAGAAAAATTAGGAGTTAGCCAGAAGTTTTTGCCAACAGATTGGCATGGTTTATTGGGTACATAGGCAAACTTCAAGCTTCTTCCTTGCAACGGAAATTGCTATTAAACCAATCATTTATATGTTTTAAAGTACATCTTTATGCATTAGTCTAACTCTTAGTATATCATTTTTCATACTTTCTGTGCAATACATTAAAGCTTTTTATTCAATGAGGAGGAAGTACCCTGATGTCTTTGGTGACATATTTTGTAATTAGTGCAGGTTAGGGAACTCCCGGAACGTTTCAGCTGACAAGTGATTTGATCTATAACATTACAGGACATCCTAACCTATTTTTTTAAGTTCTGACATAGATATAAAAAACTTAACTATTTTATGTGTTAGCTAACTTTTCAATGTCCTCTACATTAACCTCCAAACACTAGTTGAAAGCCTTTGCTTTTAAGGGAGAACATCCTATTAAAATGAAATTTTAATCAATAGGAACTTCTTTTTTATATTAGTTAGAACTTATACACCTGAAATGAGAGCATATTAGGCTTTGTCTTTTCCTCTAGAATCTAGAGATATGTGATTCACTATAACAGCTAGTCATTTTCACATTCAATAAACATATTAAATAAATGTTTTAAAAGTATTTTCTGACTCTTTGATGAGAGACAAACTAATGTGTCTCTGTTTTCTATCAGGGACCTATGTTCAAGTGTTATCCAGGACTCCCCAGGCTCAGCATATAGATATACTTATGGCTAAGATTCTTTTTTTTTTTAAATTGTTAAAATACATTTGTCTCCACCTTCCTGCCACTACTTCCCCCTGCCCCCCTCCCTTACCTCTCTCCCCCAATCCTTTCCTGCTTTAGCTTTGTCCATGGGTCCTTTATACATGTTCCTTGACTTGACCCTTTCTTTCCCTTTCCCTGCGCTCCCCTTCCCTCTTGATTCTTTTGGTTTCTTTTTTCTTTCAATGTTGCTGGTTATATTTTCCTTGCTTGTTTGTTTTGTTGGTTAGATTCTTTATGGTGATGTAGAACAGATATGTAACTAAACCATAAGGAAAAAGACAGGTAGAATCTAGAGTAATGCATGTGTAGGTTTCCATTTGCTTTCTTCTCATGAGAGGTCATGTAGAGGACACTGTTTCCCCTGCAATAACAGTGTAGCAACATGTGTGTGATATTTATTCCCAGAGATTCCCATTAGAGACACAGTGCCCAAGCTGCTTACTGAGGACTGATCACATAGGCATCTTCAGATTTACTGGGGTGTTGGTCATGTACAAAATTTCAGACTTCACAAGGAAAGCAAGTGTTTAGCAAAAACCATCTTGGTTGCCCAGCCTAAGAACAGTGAATCACCCTTGCCACTTAAGTGTTCGTTAGGAACTCTGAGAGCCAAGTAGACAAATGCTAGTGAAGGACCAAACTTGTAAGTAGTTTGTTTGTTTGTTTTAAAATAGCAGCCACAGGCTTGCTATGTAAATTCTTTATTTTTTTCTGTAAAGTCAATGTCCATATGTTTAAATTTCCAGATGAATAACGTGGAGATATATGAATTTAATAGATATAAAATACAATGTAGATATAACTTCTCTAAAAGTGTTTAAAATATTTATTCAATCAACAATACATCTTCAATAGCTTCTTAAAAAATGTCATGTAAACCACAAACCATGTCATTTACTGTGTTTAACAAGCAAAGCATCCTATTTACATTGGAACATCACTCTTATCTGCAATCTATTGTTCCCAGTGAAAAGAACACAATGTTGGTTTATTGACATTATAAGCAAATTAATACCGTGACTTCTTCCTCCATTTCCCAATAAAAGACCTGCCACAGTCTCAATCCCCAGCTTTGGCATGATGGCTCTGCTGTCTCCTTGGGCCTGCATACTAATTAGCTGCTTCTCTGCTTCTTTAGCGGAAGAATCCAATCTCTCAGATCTGTATCCCCCACTATGGGAGGAGAGTCCTGGTCAGTTCAGTGAGTACACAGTGGAGAATGGAAAGTACATTATTAATCCCTGGATATATCCTCAGAGAATGGGGATGTATAAAATTTTACTGAAACAGACAGCCAGGTATTTTGAAAAATTTGGACCAGAAAATGAAAACAATATATTGTGGGGTTTGCCTCTGCAGCATGGCTGGCAATATAACTCAGGTAAGGGTGACTCTTGTTTTCAGTCTAATCATCTACGAATCTAACCATGCAGTCACTAGGAAATGGGGCTCTATATATGTCATTTTATGTTTTTGAAATTGATTATTTTCTTTTCCCTCTTTCCCTCACATAACCATTATTTTTCTCCTTCTCCTCCATGAATCATTCTTTTATGTGTTGCCTGTTTTGACTAGAAAATGCAATGGGCTTAGGGTATAGCTGCCAAACACAAAAAGATTTCATATCTAATCTATTGAGCATTTGAAAAACATTTATTGAACTTCTACTAGGTCCTGACCCATTCTAAGCCCTGAGATGAACAGAATAGTCAAGGGGAGACACATTAAAAACAGAAGGTGACATCAAATTAATTCAAAACCCTTAGAGTTCTAATTATGATTAAATTTTGGGTAATAGCAAGTAGCCTTGTTCTTAAGGATGTTTCTCTGCAAACGAAGTACATTTTAGTGATCATTTAGAAGATATGATTGTGCCAAATATTCAGTAGTTCAAAATATTTTTGTTTTGGCGTACAGAAAAGCTAATGAAAAAGTGGTGCCTCTTTGCCTAGTCCATCCTTATAGCCCCACCCATAAGGAAATTAGTTCAGTTCTTATGGAAAAGAAATATAGGGAGATAAGGGTTAATCTGAGGTCTGAGCAAGGTTGGTGAGCTATCTGTCTTGGTAAGGGGATATCTCGAGACTCAAAGCTATTCTTACTCCTGTGGCTTTCCTTGGAGTCAGAAAGGCCACGGTCCAGGAGAAATCATGAACATATTGTTTGCTGTGGGAAGCATGTCGGCCTCAGGAGCTTGAAGGCTTGTGGTAGACAGAAGGTGAATGGGCCAGTAGATTAATGCCTTTCTTACTTTTATTACATTTTCACATGAGGATCAAGCTTGACCAAACTCACCTAGTGATGGGCTTACATGTGCCCATCATTTTCTAAGAGTGGTCAGAGTAGGAGGGGGGTGAAAATAAGTATTTCTGACAATCTCCCTGCCATCAAAGATTTTACAACATCATTGGAACAAGAAAGAGAGCAAAAATTAAACAGGATAATTTTCTAATTTTGCAGTCTGAAGATTAGTCAGTTAGGAAAATTCATTCTTCTAATATCCATGTAGGCTAATAGCATTGGCAATTCTTCATCGTTCATTGCTTTGGGAATGGTTAGGTTAAGGATCATAGCTGAGTGATAAGCAATTATAAAATAAAGAAAAGAAGTAAAGATATACAGGGAAAAGAGATGAGTAGAACCCACACACAGAGAAAGAATAAAGATGGTAAAATTGTACAGAAATGGAAGGAAAAGAGAGTGGGCATGCAAGAGAAGAGCTAGAAACAAAAAAATGCAACAGAATGGTCAGAAGAGTCATGAAAGCAGTTGGGGACGTAAATGAGAATGAGCCCTTCCTTTGCTCAGGTAGAAGCCAGAGAGAAGAGGGAGTTAGCAAGAGTGGGGAGAATAAGCTGTAGTCAGTAAGGTAATAAACTAAAACAGTAAAACAAAACAAAACAAAAAACTATACTAGGAGCAACAGTGAAAGGGAGAAAGTATGACAGAATCCAAAGGATGCAGGATAAGTACAGAAAAATGATACAAAATAAATCTGAAAAGTCACAGGGGTTGAGAAAATATCAATGGTCATTTGATGAGAAAAAGAATGACTTGAAAAAAATACTTTTCATGGTTTTTCTCACTTGACACACGACCTTATGATGAAGTTAATATCGTTAGCCTCATTCTATAACTAAGGCATTTGTGGGAAGTTCTTCATCAAAGGTGAACTGAGTACATGGTAGAGCAGGATTTGATTTGCCTGCAGGCCTTTTTTAATCTGTGTGCCTATACCTCCCTAATTTTGAGGGGAAGAAATGAATGAAATAGAAAAGAGAATAATTACAAAATTAAATAATATTCAAGATAGATAATTTAAAAGTAGAAATTCGTGGTAGTATTAGAGACAGGTTCAGGGAAGAGAAATGAAGGATAATGAGTGATAGGAAGATAAATGTTTGAGGAGTCCGATAGCTGCCAGATAGGGGGAGGTTTGGGAGCTGGACGTAGAGGGTGAAGGGATTAAGAAGTACAAATTGGAAGTTAAAAATAGTTCTGGGGGTGTAAAGCACAACATAGGGGATGTGGTCAGTAATGCTGTAGTAACTATGCACGATGTCAGCTGGGTACTAGACTTATTGGGAGGATAATTTCTTAAATTATATAAATGTCTAACCACTATGTTATATACCTGAAATGAATACAGTACTGAGTATCAACTGTAATTGAAACATAAAAATAATTTGAAAAATGTTTGCGCATCCTTACAAAAGAATGCATCTAATTAAGTGATAATTATTACCAGTTTCAAAATGTGCACAATAAATAATTTGTACATCCCTCTCTTCTAGGTAGATTAGCTGACCCGAGCAAGAGGACAGACTGTGGCTATGACTCTGGAGATCGTTTGTGCATTTCTACGGACAGTTGGTGGGCTGGTAGGTTCATTTAAATAGCAAAATAAGTAACAGTCTTTCTCTCCAAAATGTGTTCAACATAAAATTCTAGGGACAGAGATAAAATTAAAACAGATCATTCTTTTGTTAAAAGGAATCTAATTCGTTATGCACCCTGTGGCCTTTAAATCACATGCCAGGATTTAGCAGCCACAATGGCAGTGACGATTCCTTAGGACAATTCTGCTTGCCACAGAAGGACTGAAACAAGGAACTGTGAAGGACGAAGGCCTTGACAGACCAACACTGGCAGTTAGGTGGGAGATCCCACTAGTGACACAGAGTCTGTGAATGAGTAAAAATGAGAAAGGAGAGAAGAGGAAAATAATACTTTTGTTCATTTTGCTCAGAGCAAGTGTGTTTAACTTTTAAACCAGTAAACGCAGATTGGTTTATCACAAGTTCTTTTTATCAAGCAATAATTGAAGGCTTCAGTCAGATATTAAATACTAAAGTAATCAGAAGGCATTTTCTAATTCTTTGATTTTATTTTATGATTTACTAATGAAATTAATTTACACACAATTTTTTAAGATATTTCTCAATAGTTAGGAACAAGATCCCTTTAAAATTCACCTTCTTGGAGTGACACATATCATATACACCTTTGCATATTTTTCTAATATGACATTGATTGGTTCTTCTCAAACATCAACATACAGTCATGGCCACAGCTCTAAAGTAAAATTTCTTTCTCTCCCCTTAAATCAGTACATGGTTTTTATTTCATCTTTAAAAGATCACATTTAAGTCTCAGGTTTCATCTGGCATTTTGCTGTTGTTGTAGCTGGACAACCAGGATCTTTTTCATCAGCCTGCTAAACTCTTCTTTTTTCAGAAACATAGATATTGTCTAATATTTTTCTGATATCTTTGTTTTTAACTGCTGCAGCTTGCTGAATCAAAGCAACTGTATTTGATACAAGTTCAATGTTGTTTCCTTCAAGAATTAACTCATCATCTTTCTGGGCTTAATATACTGAACAAGAAACACCTAATTTATCCAAACCCTGTGGATGTATCTTCATCCAAGAAATTTCTGATTCCAACAGGAGAACCATTCTCCTGGGTAATGGCACTGATGGGGAAGTGAGCATACACAGGCCTCAACTTGTAACAGAAGCCCAGAGTAACAGCCTTGATCACACTCTGTGCATGACTGCAGATAGTGCAAATGACTTTGTATTTTCCACCATTTGCCAACTGGGAGCTTCTTCTTTTTCTTCCAAGGAGACTTCCAAGAGTTTTAAGTGATATGATTGAAGTCCCTCGGTAGGGTACCTCTGGGGCCATTCACAATAACTGTGAGTCCCTTCAGAGTGATGTTGACCTTTTTAGGAATGTTGACAGACTGATTGCCAAGAATTGTCTTCATCCTCACAGTAGGTGTGGCAAAAGGAGCTAGACTCAAGTTTTTTAATTCTCAGATTGACTGAGTAGTTTGGAGTATCAACCTGTGACACTGGGATGTGGGACTGCATTCACAAATGTATGTGTATGATACAAATTTTCTGCACCACCAGCGGGAGTCAGTATAAGCTCTGAGACAACTATATTATAATGTCTAAATTCTGCTAGAATAAGTAGGTTATATGTAAAGAGAAAAAAATGAATTCATCATAAATTTCATTATCTAAAAATTTATTGTCAACACTTGTCCAAAATTTTGCTTTAAAGAATTAATGTAATTTAAGGACTTTGTGATGTCATGGTGGCACGTGAACCTGGTTTAATAAAATATCAATGGTATAACCACATATAAAACATTTTAGATAAAAAAGTCACATTTCATTGTAAAATCTCAGAGGTATAGTATATTTCTGTGCACAAGTAGATACCTATCTTCCTTTTACACCTAATGCTTTGAAAAATGTATATTTTCAAATCCATTAAAATTACTTTCTTTGTTTTAAAATATAGTCAACTACTTTAACTCATATGTATTATGAGTGTAGAGATATTAATACAAGTATGTTAAATTTATATATATATAATCCTTATGAAGATTTAAAATTTTTTTTGCAGTGACTGTTTTATAAATATTCGTGGTTCTGTGAGTTTTTGTTTAATGGCTTCCAGATTACTTAAAAATATTCTCTATCACATTTGTTAGTGCTTGTGGTGCTAATATGTATTTTACTGTCACAGACTTAAATTACTTCCTCTGTGCATTACCCTTCCTTGCTGCGGTTGATTCTGGCATAATGGGGATATCACCAGAGCAAGTCACACTTTTGCCACCGCCCAAGGGTCAGATGAAGTTTTGTGTTAATGTTTCTACTTGTCAGTCATCCTTTCCTGAGGCGATGAGAAAGTGGAATACCTTCTACAAGGTTATTTTTTTTATATTTGTGATTTATTCTCTCAGGAGGTGGTAAGGTAATTTCTTTTTTTGCATAATTCTTTGGTTTAGGTTTTTGTGTGTATCATGCAGTATTTTCCCAAGTAGAAAAATGTAAGTTTTTATGTAAGTTATATTAATATTGTTACATTACAGCAGGGCATTACATGTCATTAACATCCTCCGAACCAGTAAAGCATTAACACAAAATCTATCCACTCATCTCATCCTAAATAAATCATATGTAAATGTGAGAGCACCCAGGTATCTCGCTGAATGATATTATTCTGGTTAATTGAAACATCATGTCAACCACAAGCCAACTTTTTAGAGAAATTTGATTATGGGGTTTGTTTTCAAATAGTCAATTGAGTTACTTAAATTGCATCAATAAATGATCACATATAGGTAGAATTATTATGGGACAATGAAAACTAACTACTCAATGACCAATATAAAATTCGTAAGTTAAGCATAGACATGGACCAAGATTAATGTTGAAAACATAGATTTCCTAGCTCTATAGTTTTAGTTCATTAGTTTATATAAGCTTTAATTAAATATCCTAATAACTTTCTCCTTTTCTTAAATTTTATTTTTGTGATAATTTCATCTCTGGTAGCAGAAAATGTGATAAAAAAGAAGTCCTGACTGTTGGGAAAATATTTGCAGTTCATTTCCTATAAAGGCATTCGGTATTAATACTAATAATAGATAATCATTATAGTCTTTCCAGAGTGTTAGCCACTGATGGCTTATACAAATTAATTTTTAGAAACAAAATTCTCCTTTTATGCAGAAATTTCTAAATTGTAAATTTGAACAAGATTAAATTGTAAGGAAAGAAATTGTTATATTTGCTCAAACATAAATTAATTTCTCCTCTTTACAATAGCATGTGCAGATACCTTATAGTAGCTTTGAGGACTTGTTGAAGTACTTATGGGATGCACATACCAAAACTTTGGCTGGTGTTAAGACAATATTTGATGACAGGTAAGAATGGATCACAAATCATTTTTATTTAATATGACAAATAATTTTGGGGTTTATTTATGCTTTTTTATTCTTCTCCTAATGTGACTGTCAGTCTTCTTATTAAATGGTATGTTTAATCATTAAGGTATTTATTGAGGAGGTATAAATATTTTAGTATGATCAGAGTCAAAAAGTGTTTTATGAAGAAGGGGCACAAATTTGAAAAGAAAAATCTCTTACCAGTCAATGAACAACTAAAACATGCAACCAATTTCTCTGTATTAAAAAAAGGAAATTTTATACATTAGTTTGATCATAGACACATAATATGATAGGTACGTACTTTGGGGGAAAAATCAACCAGCATCTGGGTTAGCACACAAAATAGCGTGGAAAATTATCAAGCCACTCCACATGTTAACCTAGTGGTATTACATACCTAGTTTAAATCTGTATATGACTATTTTGATCACAAGCTTATAAACCAAAAAAAAAATCAATTTTTATATCATTAGAGGTGCTTACTTCACTTAAAAACAAAATATAATTGTTTTTAATGAATTCATTTTAGTTCCTGAAATTCTTTCTTACTTGACCTTCCATTTAGCTGTCAACAAATGGCCTTCCTAAGTAAATTTTTAAATAATTACCATTTCTTAAATATAATAATAAAAATAAATTTCATAAAGTATTTTAAGGTACTATCTTCCTTTTTCAAAATAACTTATTTTTGTAGATCATGAATATGCAGCTGAGCTGTTGAGTGACTTGTTTAAATCTTATAGTTAATGAATGGCACAGCTGGTATTCAAACCCCCTGTGGCTCCACAGCTCTGCCACCTTACCCTGCATGCTGCACTGCCCTCAATGTGTGTGGCCAACAAATTAGTTTTCAGAGGTCAGTATCTACCACATTCTTTTTCTTTCCTAAAAGATATTAAGTACTATTCAAAAATAAAAAATATGCCCCTGCTTTTTCAATATACTGTCATGCATTGTTTAATAATGGAAAATATTCTAAGAAATATATCATTAGGCATTTTCATCACTGTGCAAATGTCATAAAGTGTACTTACACAGACTTAGATGGTATGGTCTGTTACACACCTAGGCTATATGGTCTAGCCTATTGCCCCTAAACTACAAACTTGTACAGCACGTTACTGTACTGAATATTGGAGGCAACTGTAACCCAATGGTAAATATTTGCATATTTAAACATATCTAAACCACATGAGATTAAATCAGCTCAAGAGAAAATAATGCAATCAAAAGATGAGGTAAACATTCGATGTATGAGACTGCTTGCTGCATGACATTGAGTACTTTTTACAGCAAACATTTTTATAGATTGAATTTTTATTTATTTTTAAATTATATCTGTTGAGTACAGTTGGTGATCAAAACTATTTTTGTATTAGTTTCAGGTGTACAGTACAGTGGATAGATGTCCATGTAGGTTACAAAGTGTTTTCTCTGTTGAATTCAAGTACCCAACTCATATTCCTGTGCCTATTTTGTAATTGTCAATTAGTACTTTTGAATCCTGTCACCTCTTTTATCTCACCCACAACACTGTTTCCCTCTGGCATCTATTAGTCTGTTCTCTGTATCTTTAAGTCTTTTTCCATTTTGTTTGCCCATTTATTTTCTTCTTTAGATTCCATATAAGCGATAGATTCCACATATAAGTAATATCATATGATATTTGTCTTTCTCTTATTTTACTTAGCATAATACCTTCTAGGCCCATCCACCTTGTCACAAATGGTTAGATTTCATTCTTTTTTATTAGTCAAATAACATTCCATTCTATATATGTTCCACAGCTTTTTAATCCACTCATCTGTTATGGGCACTTGGGTTACTTCCAAGTTTACCCCATTGTATGTTCTTGCTTTGTCATACATTAATTGACCATATATACATGGATTTATATTGGACACTCTATTCTGTTCCTTTGATCAATGTGTCTGTTTGATAGTATTGTTTGATATCAGAAAGTGTGATACCTCCCATTTTGTCCTTTTTCAAGGTTACTATTACTACTCGAGGTCTTTTGCAGTTCCCTACAAATTTTTGGATTATTTGTTCCAGGTCTGTAAAAAGCCCTACTGGTATTTTGATAGGAATTGTGTTGGATCTATAGATTGCTTTTGGTACTGTGGACATATTTACAATGTTAATTCTTCCTATTCAAGAGCACAAGCATATGCTTGCATTTATTAGTATCTTCTTTAATTTGTTTCTTCAAAATCTTATCACTTTCTGAGTACAAGTCTTTATCTCCTTGGTTAAAGTGTTCTTAATTTTTTTTTAATGCAAATGTGAATTGGATTGTTTTCTCATTTTTCTTTTCTTATAATCATTATTGGTGTATGAAAATGCTCGCAATTTCTGAGTATTTATTTTGTACCCTACTACTTTACTGGATTCATTTATTCTGGTGGGTTTTCTTTGTGTGTGTGCCTGTGACTCTAGGTTTCCCAGGATATCATTTGCCTATAATGACAGTTTGACTTCTCCCTTCCTAATTTGTATCTGGTACACTGTGTTCATATGTACCCCCAGTTTTCAATATGGTCTTCCTTTCTTTAACTGTGACTAGTTCACCTAGTTCAGGGACATTCTTCTCTACCCTTTTGACTGTGAGTAATACCAACTATTTAGAATCTGGGAGATAATCTTTGTGTAAGACTGCTTCTTACACAGACTTTCAAACACTTACTCTGATTTTAGCAATCTTCCTTCACCAACAGGGTACCACGTGGTCTTTATTTGGAAGATAATGCACAAATTACATGAGCATTATTTCTTAGCTTTTTTCTCTAGTTGCTTAAGATTCAGTTTTATGAGTATATTAAATCTTATTTGATTTTTTTCTATTTGATATCCAACTTCCAAAATGTGTTTCTCCTATCTCTCTTTCTACTCTGCCAACCCTTCTGATTTTATTTTTTATTATTAATATTTTAATGGGAATTTTTCAGCAGGTAATAAAAATTGATGGATTCCTAAAAATCAGCATTTTTTACTCAAAACTCTTGTGTTAACTCTTTAACTGAAATAATTTCTTTCTGTTGTTTCTTTCAATAAATTCACTTCAGCATCAACTCTTTATATTATAAATAAATTTGTAGGTAAATTTACTATTAACTGCATTTAAGAATAAAAGCTTTGAATCATTTCATGTCACTTGTAACTTTAAAAAAAGAACTCTGCCAAATAGAATTCTTCTGACACCTAATGTTGATGGAAGGAATTTTTTAAAGAGTTTTAAGATGGAAGATTTCAAATGCTTGCTCACATGTTCTCTGATTTGTCCTAAAATTTTCTTTGAGCATTTTTAGACTATTTATTATTTCTTTAAAAAATGTAATAATGTAGAAGTTAACATCATGTGCTTCAGAGTCAAACAGATCTGATTCCAGTAGGCTGGGGATCCCAACAGTGTTAAACTCTGTCTCATCATCTTTAGACTTGTAATAATAATTGTACATAGAGTAGTTTGGAAGATTAGTTGAGGTATCCATACATCATACTTATCGTACCTATGGCACATGGGAAGCACTGAATAAAAAATGTCTATTATCATCAAGACAAGAAGTAGTAGAGGGCATTAGTAAAGAATATAAAATATAAAGCCAGAACGCCAGCCAGGATTTAAATCCTGGCTCTGCACTTTATTAGGGGTGTGGAACTGTATTTCATGCAGTTTTTTCCTAACAAGAATATAGTACAACTGACAATCACTAAACCTCAGTGTCATACAACAGTAAGCATTTATAGCTCACATGTTTGAGGTTTAGCTGGGCAGGCCTCCTGATAGCTCCTAGGCTCACCTCGTGTTGATTGATTTTTGTTGGTTCCACAGGGCTGAGTGGGGAAGCTCAGCTTTGCTCTACTTTTCTCCTATTCTCCATCGGGTAAGCTTAGCTCTTTTCTGCAGTGATGAGAGAATGGCAAGAGAGAGAAAGCAAATTGTGAAAACTTATTTCAAGCGTATGCTGTATCAAGTTAGTTAATATCCTATTGGTCAAATCCAATAATATGGCAGAGCCCAGGGCAGGGAATTATGCCACTCTCCTCCAGCCCCATCTCCCACTGTAGCAGGGAAGGAAAAATGGAAAATTACATACCAAAATATAGGGTCATGGAGAGTACTGAGAGTTGGGGCCATGTGTGCAACCTACTAATGCCGGGGCACTTCATTAAAAACCTCACATGTTACTTTCTTCGGGTAAAAAATATGCTAGCATTTTTTATTTACATAAAACAATGCTGAACTCTGAGTAGTCTATATAACTTAAATAAAACTCTGTGGTCTTAGAGTATGAGATTGGCTTGTGTGTGTGTGTATAAAATTCTATGTATAATTACATATAATGTATATATAATTAAAATCAAACTTTTAAGCTATAATTTTTACTTGATGACATCTCAACCACTATTAGATTAATTATTCAATAATATATTCAATTAAATCATTTGAAAGACTTCTGTTGAACTTCACTTCTGCTCATATGATCTCTGTGTCTTGAACTGTGTGAGCTCTCATGTCTTTCTTCACAGTTTGTTGAATGTATACTCATAAGGCTTTGAGGCCATGGCTCAAAATTCTTATGAATTCACATATCCTTTTGTCCTTATTTCATAGTCAGTTGTGATCTGACTAAAGATAGTGAATCTAGGCCACAGTTTTCTTTCATCAAGGGTCCACTGATCCCACTCTCCTACTTCTGGATGTTGGGGTCAGGGAGGAGCCCACAAGCGTGGGAACCAAACATGGTAAGATTTCCCCTGTGGGTTATGTTATAGTTCATTTAACATTGACAAACATAATGTAAACATTATGTATTTAATGAATCCATCATATGTGATGTGGGAACAGAAATCAGAATATAATGACACAGTACCATGGGAATATAGAAGAGGATAGCCAGCTCTGCCTCAGGTGAAGTAGAAAACTGTGAAGGAGGTGACATAAAGAATGAGACTTGAAAGCAAATATAGCTGGTGAGCAAAGAAGGGAGTAGACAATATTTCAATATTGTCTGTCATGAAAAAACTGCAAGTTACTCAGCAATTTAGGTGGCTGACGGAGGCAGGAACTATGAATTACACAGTTATAAAATCATTTACTGTACCCCTAATCTTACCACTGTAACAATTTGTCCTCCAAATATGTGAGAGAGTTTGGTTTCCTAGAAGACTTCATCTTTGTAGGGAAAGTCCATGTATGTAGAAAATTAGACAAGAAAAACACTAGGATGATCAATATTTTAGGGGGCCTCCTGATTTTAAGATATCAATAGTTACAAAGAATGCCTGACTCTAGCACAAATGCTGTCTTGGGAACTTTGACTTTATTCTGTACATTTCTAAAAAGTATTACTTAGTAATAATGTAATATCTGGTTATTATATAATATGTAAATTAAGACATCTTGTTAAAAGTGACAAAAACTCCAAATGTAAACAAGAGTTGAATGCTCCTTTTCAAATGTAAAAATTTAACTACCTATATTTGTATCTTCAAAGGTAGGAACTCATGTCATCACATTCTAAAACTAAGAATTATCTTCTTACTTTGTTAATGGAGGATAATTTTTTTCTAAAAACACCAGGCTAAAATTCTGAGTGGACTAACTATATAATTGTACATATATCCATTTTTCTTTTAGTTTTGAATATTATTCTAAACCAGAATCAAATTTTGAAAGAAGCTGGTTTTTGAGTGTGGACTATATAGCTGTATTACAGTTTCCTACAACCTTGACTAAAGTATATGAATTCCAGAAGAGTCTGCCACCACGATTGCTAGTGAATGGAGATATGGCCCCCTTCATCAGCGACTTTAGTACAAATCAAAACATAGTTCTGCTTAGTCTAAATGTTATTCGTGAAGTGCATACCTGGACAGGTAAGGATGTTTTAAAAATACCTTAAGGAAAATCAATATTACATTGAGTTTTAAAGGAAGAAATAATGATTATATTAGATATATGTGTGTGTGTGCATATATATATATATATATATATATACATATATATTTACAATCATAACACATGCTTTCAAAGAAAGTCATGATTTCCCATGGCATCTATTTTATACATTTTGATCCTTCCACTCATGGTCTGTCTTTTCTCATAGGTTCTTATTGACCCATGAAGCTACCAGACTACTGAAGTCTATTTTTTTAATCTAAAATATCTATATATCTATATACTATATATATCTATATATAACTATAGATAACCATATAGATATATAGTTGTATATAGTTATTATACTATTCTGTCTTTATTTACTTATACATGGCTCTTAAATTTAGAAAAAATAAAGGAATCTCAAAATAAATCCTGCTACAGTTAATAAGGAAACTATCAAATTGACTTATGTACACTTTCTCCTCCAGCTTTACTAGTCATGGAAGAAGTATTCTGTTCCATTTTCTCTTATTCAGTGAACCAATCTTAAAACATAATTAAAACATTAGTATTTTTAAAACAACAAAAAAATATCTGAAAGATATAAAGGATATAAAAGCACAGTAAACACAATTACATTACATATATGATTTGAAGTCTTGTCTGCATTATTTCAAGTAACAAATATACTCGAGTATTTTAAGGGCTTCATGCAATTGAATTTTCTTGCCTGGTAATGGTCCCATATTTTACTGATAAAGAATTTGGAGCTTTGTAACTTTAGGTAATTCCCAAGCTGGTGAATGATCCAGTAAATTTGCCTCCTGGCAGTATTAATTTAAGGCCTGTACTCTTTCTCCCTATCAAATCACCTTTCGTATTGAAATCTGTACTCTCAGTTTGAAATCTGCTGTCGGCACTTTGCTGTTGTTAGATGTGTCAAGGCAGGATTGACTCAATGTTATCAAAACTAAAAAATTTAAACTAACCTAACTTCCTCACTAGTCTAGATAGAAAGAAGAGAAAAATAGCTATTCTTGGGTATTAGGATTTTAATAGATTAGCTCTAGTCAACTGAGAAACATGAAGGAAACGCCCTAATCCACCAACCAGGTAAAATGTTACGTCGTCATAGGGAAGAGTAAAGGATATCCATGAAAATTAAAGGGAAATTAAGCATTATCCTCTCATTCCCAGAAGGGAAAAACATAGACCTGGGACCAAGCATTCTGGATACTTCCAAACTGCTACCTCTTGTACATTAACAGATATAACCTGAAATATTTTTTTGCTTCAGAAATTGTTTTCAAAACTCTAAGTTATTTACTCTTTACTTAAAACACATTTTAACTGCCATATTTTTCTTGATGCATTTAAAAGTATGTTTAACATATTTAAACTTTTAAAGTTTAAGTATATAAACACATGGAATGAAAGTAAAAATCTTCTACACAATCTCTGTTTAATCACACCTTTAGCTCTTCACCCATTTTTTAAAAATTAGTCTTTGGTCCAAATTTCTAGGTTTGTATTTATATTCATAGAACAGTGAAAATAAATGAATAAATAAAACTGGTGCTGTTAACACAAATGAAATCATATACACTATTCTGCACTACACGTTTTTAACTGAAAAATTTTTTGGAGCTTTTTTTATATCAAGATGTATTAATCCAACTATTTTACTTAAAGTATATAAAAGCACAGTAAACACAATTAAAAAATTATTTTATTTAGTGTTTTATTTAATTAACTATCACAACTCTGGAGATCATTTGATGTTATAGGCTATTGACAATAAAACAAAAATTTTTGGCATATTTTATTATTTTAACAATAAATTTGTAGGAAAGAAATGAATTAAAATTAATGGATCATATATTGCCAAATGGTACGCAAAAGAGTGTTCAGGAGTTTACTTTTTTTTTTCATATAACTGTGAATTCAGGTTCTTGTTTTTCTCCAACCCACTATCATATGGACAATTTCTTTGTGTTATACAGAAAATTTTACTTCACTATTACACGAGTTTACAATTTTTTATGTGTTTGTGCACTTTATCTAGTTTTTTTGGTGAGTTGCCTAATTTTTCTTATTGATTTTTATATGAAGAACTGGTCAATGAATTTTAAATTTAAAAATCTATGTGTGCATAGACACAGGCAACAGTGTGGTGATAGCCAGAGGGAAAGACGGGCAGGGGTTAGGTGGAGGGGTCAAAAGGGAGGAAAAAAAAATGGAGATGAAAAGAGAGTGCTTGGAGAAATAAACATACAATGCAGTGTGCAGATTGAGCTTTATTGCATTGTACACTTGAAACCTGTATGGTTTTGGGAACCAATGTCACCCCAATAAATTCAATATAAAATTATGTGTGCAATAACCATGTAATGAACATATAATATTTGTATGCAAAATATATAGAATTTTAATTAAAATAAACATTTTAATAATTGTGCTTAAGTTTACATGTAAAAATTTTATAATATTTCCAGGGTCATTATCTTTCAAAATATGGAAAATTTTAATGAAGACACCAGCTGCAAGAGAGCAACTTCTAAAGTTTTTAGAAATGATTCTTCAAAACTCTAATCCCACATTTTGATAATTAATGAATAAGTTAACAGCAGACATTTTTAATTTGTTGGGCATCAGCAATTTCAAAGTTCAACATGATCATAAGCATATAGTTTTCTTGTTTCTGTTGTTTCAGATTTATGCTCACTCATTGGGATTTTGAAAATGTATTCCTAACTATAAATTCAAATTTTGTTCTGATTATTTGCTTAATTAATAATTCTTGATTTTTGAATTCATCAATATGTGATTTTGAATATCTAAAGAAGTTTGTATTAAGCTATCACAAATCATTGAGAAAATAATAACCAGACATTAAACCTGCAATGGCTTGTGTGTTGTTGTCTTATATAATCTAATTTCATGAAATTTAAAGCAATGTCTTTCTGATTTATAACCAAAATCCAGAATGTTTAAAAAGATACTGTCAATTAAAATTTTAAAACTCATAACACTGAACTGGCAAGCAGAATACCTAACTGATTTGTTATTGTTTTGTGTGTGTTTTCCCTGATCACAGGTTTACAACAATTGTATATACTTTTTCTTCTCCTCAGTCCACATGTGATAGTGGACGGTTAATGTTGAAAGCTCCTCTCTTTTAGGAGAGAAAAATACTGGCCATAACTGGGGACTCCCAGAGCTGATATATAAAGGCTCCCCAGAGCTTTATCACAAACTAATTCTACCCACTAACTGTAGGGAAAAAAATTAGACACATTGGTTTGAACAATACGGGCACTGCAATAGGAAAGACATAGTTTAAATATCAGCTCTATTGTTTTCCAGAGTGAACTTGGGCAATTTTTCTAGCCCTCTCCATGCCTCAGCTTAGTTATTGTTAAAATGGAGATTATACAACCCAGTTGCAGAAGTATTTTGAGAAGTCAATAAAAATATACAAATCAAGTGACTAGAACTCTTCCTAGTGAATTGTATGCATTTACAAAAATTAGCAACTGTTACAATAGTTGTGCTCAGAGACGGATGACATGTGTTGTATTGTTGGGGCAGGAAACACATTTTTGATGAACCAAGACCATGAATAAGCTTTTATTGAATTCAAAACACATAGATGATTTTTTTGGGTAACTGTATGCAACAAAAGTAGTGTAGTAAATTTTCTCCCCAAATCTTCTTCCTGAATGATGTGAAATAGCTACACATCTATGATATGTCTATACAAAACCAAATTCTCAAATAATTTGAAGACAGATGATACTAAAAAGACAGTAACGACAGGAGAGAGGGGAGGGGGCTAATGGGGAGGAAAAAAGGGGAAGGGTCATCAAGGAAGATGTATAATGGACCCATGGACAGAACCAAGGAGAGGAAGGATTGAGGGTGGGAGGTCGGGGTGGGTGGTGGGGGGAAAGTGGTGGCAGGAAAATTGAGACAACTATACTTGAACAACAATAAGAAATAAATTACAAGTTCTGACTTAAAAAAAAACCTAAAAAAACTAATTTAAAAAAAGGCAAAAATGCCCTCAGTAAAAAGAGAAAAATCAACAAATAATAGCGCCCACTAATACAGATTTTGACCCCGTTCTGGTGTCAGGGAAGAATAAACTTTAACCCCTTGCCCTTTAGTTCTTACAGCCATTATTTGCTTAATGAAATAATAAGTTTAATATGTATGTATGGGAGAACCACAATATGATACAATGCTTAGGACATAAAATAAGGTTCAAAGAAATGATCAAACAAGGCCTGTTTTTAAAAAAATACTTTTTAGACAAAGAAACAATAAATTTGTGAGAAATTGACACAACAAAGAGAGTTAGTGCTCATTTGAGAGGAACCTAAGCAAGGTTTGGGCTTAGGTAGTAAATTCGTGAAAGCGTCACAAGGTTTATTTACGCAGGTTTTTCCAACTCTGGCTTTATACTCTTGGAATAAGGTCATTTCCCAGCCCATGGGAGCAAGGAAGGCACCTATCACAGGGAGACTTATTTCCTGCATTAGGAGAGACAGAGCAGAGTTGGAGCACTCTTCCCATTCCCGCTGCTTCTCAAATCATTTTAGTTTGAAAGAATTGATATACCGTCATGAGATATCTTGGGGCAGTTGGCTCTGGGCCTCAAAATCGGCAAGCAAAGGCGACCAAGAAAAACTGTTGGTTGGACCCAGGAGGGCTGACACTAGCAAAGGCGCCTGAGACTGAGATGGAATGACCTTCAGAAAGATTAAATCTCACCTTATTCTGAAAATTCTCAACCTTGATGAGTGGTTCTGAGCACCTAAGGGAACTGTAGGAAGCAGACTTTGAATAAGCACAAGTTAAAAGACTAAGGCTGTGGTTTAAAGAGACGGACTTTACGTAAATGGTCAAACCTGATTCAAAATGAGAGGCTCACTTTCAAGTGACAGTGTTCCAAATGAATAATTTCTAATTAAAAAAAAAATGACAAAAACAAAGAAAAATATGTCCTTTGCTAATTGAATGGTAGTTAAGTAGGAAAAAAATGAAAAAAATTATGTCCTTTAAGACAAAAGAGAACAAAACTAGATGACTCTCAACTGTTTCCTCATTATTAATGCAAGCAAACTAACAAACAAGAACAGCTTAAGGAAGTGGATTTAGATAATCTAACAGAAAATTAGAAAATTAACTAGGACCCATCAATTAGAAATCTTGCAAAACACACCAATATAATATAAATGAACAAAAAGAAAATAAAATCAACAATGAACATTTTCAGACAACCAGGAAATAAACTTTCACTTAGATCAACTGAAAAAAAATTTCCCTCAGAAAAATCATCATGAAGCAAAAGAAAATTATGACTATACTCTAACAGAATTCAATATCCTAAAAAAGAAAAATTGAGGATATGAAAACCAACTTGAATCAAGTATTAAAAGCTAAGAACAGAGATGATTTTTAAAAAGTAGAGAAATGAAAAAAAGAGTTAATAAAATTCAAGAAAGAAATAGGTAAAAAAAATAAAATCTGAAATGAAAAAGAAAGCATAAGTTGAGTTGCCTAATGGACAGTAAGCTCAAATGACACTTTAATAACTTTGTTTTAAAGAAACATGTTAACCAAGAGCAGATAACAGCTCAAATATATCAGAAAAATAGAATAAGAAGTTCTTACCTAGACCTAAATACATATGGAAACTTAGTACATGGCAAACATGGAATCTCATTTCACTAGAGAGTGACTTATTAATAAATGATGCTAGGAAAAGGTAAAATAAAAATTAAGTACCCATTTGGAAATAAATAAAATAAGGTTTGTTTCTCACACTCTATAGAAAACAAACTTTGAGTGAATTAATACTCTAAATGTAAAGAAATGAAACCATAGATATGCAAGAGGGAAATTTGGGTGAATCCCTTTCAGACTTCAGTGTAAACACAAGCTTTTTAACTTTACTGCCTAAATGCATATAAAAGGAATGATTTGGGGCAGAATCAAGATGGCAGAGGAGTGAGTTGAAGTCACACTGACCTCCTCCTCGGACCAACCTGGAATCACAACTATATTGTGGAGAAATCATCTGGAACAAACAACTGAACAATAGCAAGAGAGGAGCTTTGTAACCTTGGAGGCAAAAGAATCGGCTTTAGCACAATCTAACCAGTAAGGAGTGCAGTAGAGACTTGAGAAGGTAGGCAGGGTGCCCCTGGGTGGCAGCACCAGAAGGATATTGAAATGGCCAGTTGGATCCCCCAAAGAAGAGTGGTGTCTAAACCACAAGCAGAGATCTCCAGCCTACAGCACCAGAGCCCAAAAAGTACACAGAAAATAGCCAGTTGCGAAAAGCGGCAGGGTTGCTCTCTGCCAGAGATGGGCGGCTGGAGATGCAAAGAACCGTTTAAAGGGCCAATGCATAAATTTTTATTTGCAGCAACTTGCCCTGGTGTCTGGCAAAGGTTGGGGAAGAGTGGGTTAGAGACACCTGAGGAAAGACTGGGAAGGAGGCTTTGGGGAGAGAACTGAGAAAGTAGCCACGGGATCTCAGTGCTAACTCGTCCCCCATGTGGCAGCAGCCATCTTGCTTAGGCAGAGACCAAACAACGGTTGGAATTGAATTCCAAACAACGGTTCTAGGGAAGCTCAATGAGCTTAGTGAGCTCAGAGAGAATTACCAAAAACTACAGGGAAACTATGAGGAACTTACTGCAAACTATATCAGTATGAAAAAGGACATAGAAACTATCAATAAGAGAGAAGAGGAAATGGAGAGTACAATTTCTGAATTGAAGAACACAGTAGAAGGAATCAAAAGCAGGCTAGATGAAGCTGAGGGCCAAACCAGTGAGCTGGAGGACAAGGTAGAAAAAAGTTCCCACAAAGAGCAAGAAAATGAAAAAAGACTCAAAAAGAATGTAGAGGCATTGAGGGAAATGAGGACAACCGGAAACATAATAATATCCATATAATAAGGATACGAGAAGAAGAGGACGAGGAAGGGATAGAGAACCTTTTTGTAAAAGTAATGATGGAAAACTTCCCTAATTTGAGGAAAGAAAAAAATCACACAAGTCTAGGAAGCACAGAGGGTCCCATTCAAGAGGAACCCAAAGAGGCCCACTCCAAGACACATCATCATTAAAATGGCAAATATCAAAGACAAACAGAGAATCCTAAAGGAAACAAGGGAGAAACAGGTAGTAACATATAAAGGAGCCCCAATATGGCTAGCAGCTGACTTCTCAACAAAAACATTGCAAGCCAGAAGTGAGTGGCAAGAAATATTCCAAGTAATGAAAAGCAAAGGCCTGCAACCAAGACTGCTCTACCCAGCAAGGCTCGCAATGAAAATGGAAGGCGAAATAAGGGACTTCCCAGACAAAAGGAGGCTAAAAGAATACACCTCCACCAAACCAGCACTGCAAAATATGCTAAAGGGACTGCTTTAAGATGAAGAAAAAGAGTCTATGAATATCCATTTCCTTTCACAGTTGTCAATACTTGATATTACCAATATTTTTAATACGTATTAATCTGTGACAATGATGTTATTTTAATTGTTCCTTTATTATTTGTTGAAACTAAACCTGTTTTGTATATTTAATGCCTATTTCTATTATTTTTAAAAAGCTTTAAATGACTTTTTGGTATTCTTTATCCATTTTTTGACTAAATGTGTGTAGAATTTTTTCCCCATAAATAAAAAAGACTATTAACCCTTTTTTGATGTGTTGCAAATACTTTCCTATTCTATTATTTGTCCTTTAACTTTTTTTATATGTATATTACTATAAAGTCTTAAATGTTTACCATAGTCATATTATTGATATTTTCCTTTATAGCTTCTGGGTTTGAATATTTTACTTCAGTGTAAGAAAAATATTAGTTTGTATTATCTCCTAAAACTCCTTAGATTTTACATATTGATTTTTAACTCACTTGAATATTTTTTGTATAATGTGTGAAATAGGGCTCTCTATTCATTTTATTCCAAGTAATAGTGGTTCATGCACCTTATTTGTTGAATAAACCCTATTTTACCCATTGATTTGAATTATCAACTT